CGCTACAGACTTGGAAGTGACTGGGTGTGTGGGACATGGTCAGGGATGCTCTTGTTTTGGGCTTGTGAGATGGGGTGAATGGTACACCTCTGACCCAGGCAAGGAATTCATGAGTAAGGATATATGTGAGGAAACTAAAGAAGACAAAATGAGCCTCTACGTAATATGTCAGGCATTGTTCTGGCAGCCAGGGCACACCAGTGAGTGACAGACCCAAGTCTCTGTGCCCACGGAGCTCACACTCCTAAGGAGAGACAGATACTAAACAAACACTCCACAAATAATTAGTAACCTGGTGTGTTAGGGGCTTCTATTTGGGGATGTCTTGGCTCTAAGGGGCCTGTGGGATCTGAAGGTAGGACCATTTGATTGGCAGTTGGACTTACACATTAAAACTCAAGGGAAACATTCTGGTTTCCATGGAGATGCCAAGGAAAGTGGTCTGGGCATTGTTTTCGGTGCTTTCCCCATGGTCACTGCAAGGTGCAGGAGACAGACCCACGTTCTCGTGATGGTACCCAAGGCAGAGCCTTAGCAGAGCCCCTCCCGGCATCCCAGCCCATGAGAACGAGACCCCAGCCTCTGTGGGTCAGCCTGCAGTTGGTTGCTGAGTCAGTGTCAGCAAACTTCCAAGGCCTCGGTGGGCACCTGGCCTGGAGTCCCCATGTGTCCCTTGACGAAGCATTTACATAATCTTCTAATAAGGGGAGCTAATGAGGCACACTGACGCCTCTGGCAGTACAAACACCTAGTTTTGCCCTAAGGATGAGCTAAGTGTCTTTCTGGATTTACTCTCCCATCTGGAGAGATACTTTAAATAGAAGATCATGGGAGGGGAAAGCCTCATAGGAATGCTTGCAGAGTCCTCTTCCTCCACACTGGTGTGTCTTCTGCTCTGTTACCAGATTAACCTGCCTAATTACAAGGTTTGGTCCCCCAAACCTTGTCTGGCTCTTTCTCTTAGAGAATGAAATTCACGGTTCTTAGGAAGCCACACACTCTGGCCGAGCCATCAAGACTGTCTCTCGCTTTTCCTTTTTCTCCTCCCTATTCCGTGCACGCAGTAGGTGTCCACTAAGTGTGTTCGTATGATCCATTCAGATGAGACTGTCCCTTCACAGACATGCTGTGTACTTTCCTGTCTCTGGTTTTCTTTCTTTTTTTTTGCTTTTTTCTCTTATGCTATTATATCCTACAGAACGCCTTTCTCCATCCTCCCTCTTTTCCCATCCAGAGGTCCAGTTTAATTGTTACATAGTCCATGGAAACTTCCTAGAATCCAACCTCACACCCCTGTAGCTCTTGTGCTCCTTACAGAGACATTCTGTACGGTAGTCCAACTCTAGGGGTACCCTTCCCTTATTGTCTATATCAGTGTATTCCCATGGCTCTCGTGGGACGTGTGCCATTCCTAAACTTTGCAGTCGTGTGCAGCAGCCCAGCGTTATGGCACACCCGTGTTCTCACGCTTGTGTAGTTGCATTGTCTTTCTCCATCTCTGCCAGAATCATAGTGGCCTGAGAGAGGACTCTGAGCCCATTCCTTGCCTAAAGCCCTGTTATGCCTTATATGTGTTTGCTGCCTGGATAGCTCTTCGTTGGATGTTTAATCATTCAACTCTTTTTATTTTGGTCTATAGATGGAGGAACTAACTCAAATACTTTATTTGAAATGTGATGCAGAAGGATAGGTAGAAGAACAGTTTCATAAATTAATGTTGATAATAGTCTTAATCCATTGTCGTAATCCATTGGGGCTGCTGTAACAAAAATACCACAGACTGGGTGACTTGTAAGCCACGGACATTTATTTCTCACAGTTCTGGAGGCTGGGAAGCCAAAGATCATGGCACCAGCATGGTCTGGTTCTTGGGATGGGGGTTGGGGGCTGCTTCCTGGTAGACTGCCGACTTCTGTCTGTGCCCTCACATGGTGGAGGAGTGACGGATCTCTGGAGCCTCTTTGACAAGGGCACGAATACATTTCAGGAGGACTCTGAGCTCATGACCTAATTACCAACTCAAACCCCATCTCGTGATGTCATCACCTTAGGGGTTAGCAGTCAACTCCAAATGGTGTGGGGAGTCACAAACATTTAGACCATACTAGTAGTTAGCACACATTGAAATCTTACGATTGCAGGAAGCAGATATAAGTAGCTTGATCTGTTTGGGATTATTACTCCATGTCTAAAATCATGCTGTCTATCTAGTTGTAATAAAAATGCAAGTTGGCAATTACACAGGCTTACCTTCATTCATCCTTGATTCATAAGACTCTGTCGTGGCTCGTGCGGGAGAAGGGAGGGGGAGGGCTGAATGGACCACCTGTCTTCCCAGTGACTTGGACTAGCTGCCTCTGACTTAGCCTTCAGATAAGTCGCTGGCCAATCAACAAACACACTGTCACCCCCGCAGGCCACCAATCGTCACTCAGGCTGATTGGCAGCTTCTTGTAAGGCTTCCAGGGAAGCTCCAGGAAAGGCATGCTCTCGCGCCCTGGGTAGAGATGGTTTAGTGGAGGAATTTGCAGTGTTCAGGCAATGGTCCCGTGGAGAAATGCTGCAGTGCTAATTGCTTCTTCGATTCATTTTTTTTTCCGTTTATTACCCTTGTGCACCTGTTATGTGTATGGCAAGTTGGCCTAATAAATTTCTTCAGGTCTAGGCTCATTCACCCAGCTCCACCTGGCTTTGCCACCGTTGCTTTAAACTTGGTACACACCCAATCCCCAAATCATCTTCCTCCCACGTGTCTTTTTTCTCGAATCCCCTGTTCTGGAGACACCACCACCAGCCCAGGACTCTCAATGTCACCTTCAGCTTCTTCCTGTCCATTTTCCCCTTATATCTGAGATCTCATCTCCTGAAATCCCTCCAGATTAAGTTCCTCGTTGCTGTTCCTTGGACTGTTTTAAGCAGCTCCTAATCTCACATCCGCCTAGTCTTAATCTCTTACATGATTTGTCCACGTATATTCCTCTAATCTGTCTGCTAATCATCACCCATTCCCTCCATTCAGTTCATTTGTTAAACTCCTGCTACATTCCAGACACCGGGCTAGATCATGGGGCCGTCCACTTGAACATAACCAGCACGATCCTTGACCTCCCTGGGCTCACAGTCAAGTGGGGATGTAGACAAACAGGTGATTGCTGCCTTAGGAAGGGCCCTGACCCAGTCACGGGTAGTCAGGGAAGGATTCTAGGAGCAAACGATGGCAGACCTCAGAACCAAAGACTGGGAAAGAAAGAGGTCATCAAACGCTGAACGGGGGAAGTGAAGGGTGAGCGAGGAGGGAGCTGAGGTAAGACTGTGACCTCTGCGCGAGCAGGGATGATATGTCTTTAGTCACCACGTTCCCATTATCCAGCTCCTAGCAGATTGTATGTACTCAGTACGTATTTATCGAATGAGCAAATGCAAGAGAGTGTTTACAGAGCAAACCGAACATGCAAAGGCCCAGGTAGAGAGAGAGCATGGGGGCGTGGGAAAGCGAGTGGCGGTCTGTCTGTCTGGGACAAAGAACACGGAGAGACCGCACAGGAGGCTGCGAGCTCAGACGCAGGTTGTGTTGCTCCCACATCCCACAAAGATGATGAAGTCCAGACTGTTTAACTGGGCATTCACTGCACTGCTTCCTGTGGACTCTCCTCTCTCTCCTTCTCTGCTCTAACCGTAGAGTCCCTGCTGACCACTTCCTGTCCCCACACACTCCAGCGCGGCCTGCGCTCCGGCATAGTTTCCTGTGGTCCTCCTCACCGTGTCCTCGATCGCTTCACTTCCTGTAATGTCATTTATCCTTTAGGGCACCGCTTCCCTCTGACCCAAGCAGAATTAGCCCTTCTTTTTCTTGACTCCCATAGAACTTTGTGTTCTGTTGTAGTCGTCATCACATTATCACGTTCTGTCTCATGTTTATAGTATTTAATTGCGGACCTCCTGCCTCTCTAAATAAGATAAGCTCCTTGAAGTCAGAGGCACCAGGTCGTTCTCATCTTTAGATGTCCAAAAGGCATGCATTCGTAGTATTATAATTTATGTCGTTATTTTCACTAGCACAGTAGTATTTATGACAGTAGTTCTTCTGAACTGAACTATCGCTTTGTGCCTGGTGGCCTCTCAAGAAGGCATATCTGCTCTTTATTAATAGCCTAACTTTGTCTGTTATTGATATGCATTATATGTGACACTTACTGTATTTAATCGACACAGTAGCCTGATGAGGGTTTTTTTTTTCCCCCCAACATTTTACAGAACGAAGTGGCAGCAGTGCAGTGGTATATGTGATACACTCAAGGTTTCCATTAATAAATGACAGCTCAGGGATTTGAACCCATTTCCATTTGAATCTAGAAGCTTTGCCCCTGTGTGATGCTGGTTTGTCCACTGGGCGCTGCCTCAGTAAGAGCTAGTTGACTGAGGTGGAATGAATAAAAGCTGTAGAAATATTAAAAGTGAGGGTCAACTGATACTCAGTGGCAGGAGCCCCAGAGGGACTCCATCTTGGATGGCTGGTTTTTGAGGGAACAAGCAGAAAAAAGGACTTAGTGCTGTGGGCGGAGTGTCTCGCGAGCTCCAGACAGCCAGTCCAAAGACTCGAGCTTCTATGGATGTGCTTCTGCACGACCGCCGATGTCTAGGTGGTAGAAATAAAGGGTTGGTCAAATCGTTAGACGTGCTCTATGTTTTACTAACAGCTATGGTGGTTGGCTTGACTTGCGTGTCACCGGCGATCTTGCCCTCTCTGGTCCTTGTTTGTCTCCTCTATGTGATGCTGAGGTGAGGCGAGGTGTCGTCGCTTTTTTGGCGCCACCAGCCTCCCCAGTGAGCACCGGTTTGGTAACAGGTCCGATCTACTTTCATCACGGCTGTTGGAAGCTGCTCACACGTCACTCTCATCGGTAACAGTGTGTTATTGTGGCCGGGACTCCGAAGCCTTCGCTGCTTCCCAACGTGTCTTTCTTCTCCCTCCTGACGCTGCTTCCTCTCACTTCCCGCAGGCGGAACCCTCTGCACTTCCACCTGATCGCCGACTCCATCGCGGAGCAGATCCTGGCAACTCTCTTCCAGACCTGGATGGTGCCTGCCGTGCGCGTCGACTTCTACAACGCGGATGAGCTCAAGGTACAGTGCGGTGTGCGGGCGGTGGGAAGGGGTCGGTGCCCGCCCGGGTCCCTCAGGCTGGAAGCTTTTCTCGTTTGCGGTTTAGTAGACCTCAGACAGGGCAGACAAATCAGCTCCCAGCTGGCAATGCCCAGAGTATAATCGAGGCGGTCCGCCATCCGAATCTGACTTTGTTATCGAAAGCGTTCAAGTGACCAGTTCTTTAGCATGGAATTTACGACAGTCTGTGCAGTTCTGGCTACCAAGGCTTTATGCAGCGTCTGGAGGCCATTGGCCTGGTACTCGCCTGAAAGAGATCTGTGATACTGTGGTCTAGAGACTTTTGTCACCCCGTGAGGTAAATACCCCATGAGTCCAATGGACTTAGAAAGAATTCATGTATTGCCATTTACTGGTCATAAGACACAGTAAATAACTTATACCTTTGCTGGGTCTGTGTTCTCACCAGCAGAAAGTTGATCATAATGCCAAACTCATGAGGCACTTAAGAGGCTCGAATGAGATAATATATGTGATGTGTTTTAAAAGGCTCTGCTGAATAAATAATGATTTTGTTGGGCCAGAGGATTTTAACCAAAAGAGATCCAATTGGTCATGTCACTCCCTTGCTTAAAATCTTTCTGTTGGGCCACTTTGCTCGTATCGATGTCGAGAGTCACAGTCTGATCGAGAGGTCCTGCACGTTATGGCTCTCGACTCTCTCGTCATTCCTACACACTCACTGTTACTTATCTCTGAGAAACCCCGTCCAGTGCGCTCTGCCCTCTCCCCTGTGCCTGAGCATTTGCTCATGCTTCTCCTTCCGCCCGAAATGCCCTGTCGCCTGCCTTGTCACAACTCCTCCTCGCCCTTCAGAACTCAGCTGCACCGCCACCTCATCTAAGAACCTCTCCTGGTTTTTCCAGGAAAGAGGAAGACGTTTTCTATTCACTCATCTGTCTACTGCTTTATTTGAGAACCGTCTTAATGAGGAGAGGGGCAGGGGGCACGTGTTACCCTTTTCTGTGTGTCTGGTGCATAATTGGTACCCTGTAATGCTTGTGGATTTAACAAATTGCTGTTATTAGAAGAACATGTAACTTTTGCTAAAATATGTGATGCTCCATCTCCAATCACCTTGGGAAGGACCGAACACCTAGGCATGAGGCTGATGCTAGCAAATTGCTTGTTCCAAACCTCGTAAAGCTATTATCTTTTCATTTCAGAGCCATAACATTTTAAATAGATCACAGAGATGCTGGCCAGAGTTTCTGATTTCCCCATATTTCAGGCTCCGAGGTTGATGGAGACGTTCAGAATTTCGCATTTGGGGATCGTCGTGGTAATTTGTGTGCCATTCCAATCTATTCTGAGCTAAAATTGATTAACACTCTTAAAAAGGGAAAAACAAAATTTAGCAAATTGCTGCACTAATTAAGGTGAAAGCAAGCCACTCTGTCTCCCAGGGTCTTAGCGCCAACACTGTGGGGAGACGCAACGGGTGGGGAGGAGCAGCAGCTGGCGCAGGAGGATGCTTCTGCCTCCTCCTCCGTTGTTCTCCTTCCTTTTGGCAATCCTGCCTCGTGTCTTTTGCAAGCCCGTACCCTCCACTGTTTAAGAAAACCCAAAGTGGTAGGGAAAAAAAAAAAAAAAAACCCTCGCGTTTGTAACCTGGCCCGCCACTAAAGAACTGTCTGATTTGAGTTCTGAGTCCCGGCTCGATCAGGTGTCAGATGGGTGGGACGGTGAGTGCCAGCTGCCAAGGAAGGGACCCGATGCCTGACAAGGGAACTCACGGGAAAGCCCGGCAGTGCCTGAAAGGTAGCAGGGTCTTGAAACTGTGCCACTCCCATTGGTAGCCAAAGCAGCGTAGGATTGAAATGGCCTTGATTGTGTGGCCTGTTACAGAATCAATCCATGGACAGACAGTTGGGAAGCTAAAGATTTCAGCCAAGTGCTGAAATCTGCTCCTGGGGCCCCCAGGAGGTCTTGGAGGAAGGAGGAATGAGAAGGGACAAGACCGTGTTCTGTTCTGACTCTCTCGTGCCCCCTTGAAAGCAGGTGGCCCTGCTGCTCATTATTTCACATACTTCCTTTTTATCTGTTCGAATCGAAGGCTCTGTGGCTTAAGAAATAAGAGCTTTAAAAAAAATACAACCTGGTGTCTGTTCTAAAGGATACTGTCTTCAGTTTTCTGTCCTCTAGCCTGATTTCTGCTGACTACACCATGCACGGTCCCCAACACCTGCATTTTATTTCCCTACCAGTTAAATGCCTATTCCGCCCCCGCCTCCCACCACCCAGTTCTGTATTCCATGAGGCTATTGCTCTTAGAATCCAGTAAGGAAAGAGGATGAAGGCATTTTGTAAAACATAATTTTTCCATAATTGATCATAACAGTAGTAATAATTTATACAGAATCCTCGACAAATCCAAAACTATGATGTGTCCACTCCCCCCAGCCTGCGCCATTCCTGGCTCCCGGCACTGCCATCTGTCTACGTAGTTGCTCATCCAGAACCAAGAGTTCGTCTTTGATGGGTCCCTTTCCCCGACCCCACATCTGACCACTCCACACCCTGGCTCGTCTCCATCCCTGCTGCTCGCATCCTAGTCTAAGCATCGCGATCGTTCCCCAGCCCAACAGCAGTCTCTTCTGTGCTGCTCTCTTCTCCTCCCCCGAATCTATTCTCCATCGGTAGCGTGAGTCAGCTTTCCCAAGAGCAAATCCGACCGACACCATCCCGTTCGCTCCGCGTAAAACCTTCAGTGGTCCTTCACCGAGTCACATCTGCCTGGAGTCTGGCTCCTTCCAGCTTTGTCTCACACCCCTGGCACCATCACTCACTCCCAGATCTTCATCTTTGCTCTGCCCCGTCCCTCCCACCAGCGGCCTTGGCCCAGCGCATTCTGTTAACCTCTGTTTCCTCACCTGCCTTCTCCCCCTCATTGCTAATAAATTCCAAGTTCTGTTGCTGAAGCTGCATTTCCATGGAATACCTCGTTTTATTGCATCTCACTTTATTGTGCTTCGCAGATGTTGCGTTTTTTTGTTTGTTTGTTCATTTTTTTTTTTTTTAATCAAAGGCGAGGCCCTCCACCAACAATAGGATTACAACTCGCTTTATTATGACACTCACTTTAGTGGTTGCAGTGGTCTGAAACCAAACCCGTAGCTACCTCTGAGGTGTGCTATGTGCTCGGGGAAACCTCCCTGCCCATCGGGGTGTCTTTGTTATCTGTTCCCACAGGATCACATGCACTTCCTTAGGAAAGACACTGCAGAGTGTGACCTTCCACACCTTTGCGTGACGAGCTGGTGAATGTCTGTCCCTCTCCTATGCGGGGAGCTCCAGAAGGGCCGGCATCATGTCTGTCTTTCGTCACTCTGGTATCCTTACCCGTGATGTGATGCTCGGCTTATGAAAATGTTTGCTAAAGGAACAATACCCAATAAACTCAGAGCTGATAAAGTCACCGGGAAGGGGTTTCTTTATCACTGTCAGGGCTCGCCACACTCCTGAGGCCTGTCGTGCTGGTGACCCTGCAGTGGCATAAATAAGGCAGCTTCCTCTGTATCACCCACCTAAAGTCCCCAGAGCAGACCTGGGACAGGCGAGCATCTTTCCACAACAGGTTCTCATGCCATAAAAGTCACACATTAAAACCCCGTCCATTCGCTGACATCGGAGGGAGGAGGACAGGAGAGGAGTGGACAGGTGCTGTGTCTGCAGCTGCTTCCACGAAGCATGTCAGTCGGTGGCCTTTGCAGACACGCACGACAGCCTCCCCCAACATGGCTCCGAGAAATCGCTTTGTACAGCCGTTGGGAAAGGCGTTTCTCACAAATACTCCTATGGGCCCTTTCTTTGTATCCCTTCCTGCTGGAGGATGGCGTGATAGGGAAAAGGAAATTCACGAGGGATTGGTGCCTGATTCAAAAACGAACGGCGGGAAGTTCGTGGTGGACTGTGCACGTCTCCCCTCCATGATGACCAGTTAGCGTGGATTTGCAAATAATGATCGCTCGGCTTGTGTGTCTCTGTGGCCTGTGACATGCTCATCGGTCTTCCGTGGGTTTACACGGCTCATTCCTTTCCGGCCTCCACTCCAGACATGCGGCTCCGGCCATCAGAGGAGGAGCGGGAAGAAAAGGGGAATGGATTTTTCTAGAGAGCTTTGAAGGTGGTCGCACGCTGTCCCTCGCTTCTCACGACACCCGTGCGGGGTGGAGAGAGACGTTTTATTACCGCCATCTCACAGATAGTTTATAAATGGAAGTGCAGAGTCGAAGAGTGTTTGCCGAAGATCAGGCCGCTCATAAAGGCCAAGGCCGAGATGTGACTTTTCCCTTTACAAGTGAAAGGGTGTGAAATACGGGAGTGTGTAATTCAATAGACAAGGATGTGGAAAGGAGGGAGAGACATCGGCTCCGGCCACCCGGAAATACAGTTGCCCCTCTTGAGTGGTGCTTGAACTCACAATGCCTGTTTTTCAGGGACTTTGGAGCCCGTAGCCTTTGGTGTAACGTCTCATTTATGGGAGACTTTACATTTCGTGTGGTTCTCTCATGAAATGTCCACAACAGCTCTGTGGAGCAGGTCCTATGATTATCCCCATTATACAGATAAGGAAACCGAGGACAAGGAAGGCTAAATAACCCAAAACCCACGTACACAGCTAGGGCATAGCAGAGCCAGAAGTATCTGACTTCACAATCCATCCTCTTGCTTCTGTATTTCCTTCTCTGTGGCCTGTTTTTAAGCCAAGATACTGTAACTATGTCTGGACAAGGGTCCTCTATGCTCATGATGCTGTCCTTTGGTTGTTCATGAAGAACAGCTGCGTTAGGTATGACCCCTCCATTTAAAGTCTTGCTGGGAACGGAGCTCCCTGCCGGGGACAAAAGTACACCTTCCTAGTGATGCTGCGGAGTTTGGGATGACCCCGTCACTCCTATCCAAGAGTCGTTTTCTAAACGAAACAGTCATTAGTCTGCAAAGTTTGCCTTAAATCAGCA